GAGAGAGCGAGAGAGAGAGAGAGAAAGAGAGGGAGAGAGAGAGAGAGAGAGAGAGAGAGAGAGAGAGAGAGAAAGAGAGAGAGAGAGAGAGAGAGGGAGGGAGGGAGAGAGGAGCAGAGAGAAGAGGAGGCAATCAGCACCCGTACCTCACGCACCTTTGTGCCGGCTTAGCGTAGCTTTTATGCACCCAAGCTTTTACCGATCGTCCTGCCGATACCATGGCTGCAGTAACGGCAGCAGCGGAGGAGGCTGAGTGTGCGTGCGTGCGTGCGTGCGTGTGTGTGCGTGTGTGTGTGCACGCGTGTGTGTGCGTACAAGCGTGTGTGTATGGAGGAGGACGAGGAGGAAGAGGAGAAGCAGGAGGAGGAGGAGGAGGAGGAGGAGGGGAAAGGGGTCATTGTCTGGGGAAGAGCGGCACATATTTTCACTGTTCCAGTACAAGCACATCTGCCACTCCGAGAGTGCAAAAGTAACTGTGAACTTTACCCGATAACTGAGAATCTTGCTAAAAGTACACGTTTCACTATCATCGTTTCTCGCTCGGTGTTTTTGCCCTAGCGCGAGAGAGTAGGCGAACTTGTGGGGCTACAATTATAAATAGCTGTTACACCTTGCTAATTAAATTGTACCTGAAAAACCTAAAATTTCGAAGGAAAAATAGATTTCCACTGTCACTTTCCCCGCCGAGGCAATGCAATTATTCTCATTTTCGACCGGACGGACCGATAAATGGACAGATCTAGGGAATGACCCACAGATGGATAATGGAAAGGATCGCTGGACTGATCTACAGATGGATCCACAGATGGATCTACAGACAAATGAATGGAGGTAACAACAGACAGATCAATAGGTAGATCTACAGACAGAGCAACAGAAGGATCTACAGGCAGATCTACAGACAGATCAACAGACGGATCAACGGAGGGACCAACGATCGCGGACACCTCACGACGGACACTCACCGGTGCAGGGCCGACTCCCAAGCCCACCAACAGGGGGCAGCACCTGCAGCCCCGAGCCGTTCTGCCTCTTCCAGCCCCTCCAGTTGTTGCAGAGACTCTCCGGCTCCGAGATCCACGAGCAGAGAGAGTCCTCCTCGAAACGATCGCTGTCCTCGAAGGAGAATCTTTCCGCGGCTTCCACCTCCCAGTCGAACATAAACGTGCCTTCCATGGGGGTGCGGCGGCGGGGCGGGGGGGCGGACCAATAGCGGCACGTCTACGCGCGTCCGACCTGCAGCGAGGAAACGAGCAGCACGGGCGTCAGAAACAAGAGAGCATCCCGCGCGCAGGCCGAGAAACGGGAGAGCATCCCCAGCGCGCGTGGGGTACGTGCGTCGTGGAAGGCATCGGCGACAATTTTCGGACATGAAGACCGAGTGGCCTTGCACAAACAAAATTGAATTAATCAAATGAGTAATAGACACCAATAATCTCTGAATGAATGAATAAATAAATAAACAAGTAAATAAATATTAAATAATACATACATATCAGTCACAATAACTGGTTGAATGATTGAATGAATAGTGGGTATTCTGTGCTGAGATGTGGGTGCATTTCGTATGCCCAGCCACTACCACTAAATGCATTAGGTATATGTACTAAAAATGCCAGTGTCATTGAATGAGACGCGTGCTCTTACAGTCACGTCCTAAAATAACGAATATTATGGTGACGGTCTACTCTAAGACCCTGGATAACAGATTATCATCATCATCACAGGGATTCTTCTAAGGGAAAATTAGACAAAGGAGGTGATGGCCAGTTTGGGAAAAAAACACGCATGATGGATTCAAATATAGGATGTACTATTGATATACAATATAGGTATTCAACACGTATTTTCACAACAGCGATGTTAAATTTGACAACGGCGATGTTAAATTTGACAACGGCGGTGCGCCACTGTGCCTCTTATGTATAAGAAACCCTGCATCATCATCATCATCATCATCATAACATTGCCAAGCCTAACCCTACCAGTAACCTTTCATTACAATTTACAAAGTGGTGTCATACATACAGTAGACATCACTTGAATATAATCTATACATCCCACCAACTTCCCAGTATGTACATTAACGTAGCTCAGTGCCGTAGAATTATTTACCAATTGAGCAAATAAACAATGACACCAGTATTACGAATAAATTTACATAATGATAATAGAAGACAAAGATTGGATCAGACAGACTAGTGTAACTGTCTATATATATATAGCTATTATAGGTATACGATTAGAATAAGACGAGCACATTAACAAACAGTACCATCGCCACCAGACCTAGATTAGGGATAAGAGGACTATATCAGTACTAACAGGAATAAACACTATTATTATTAATGATCAGTATTGCTGTAATGAAATAAAAAAAAATACACGAACCAAGCAGTGTAAAATTGTCTCGGAATAGAGGAAGTTAAAAAGCAATCATTATCACCGTGGTCATTAAACGTGGTGGTAATCCGTCGATCGTCTGCTATTTTGCACGGTATAAACTAAAGCCGGTGCAATCTAATGCAGTTTTACACACACAGTTTTGGTTTTCACCTGCGAATACTGTGGCCTTTCTGTCACCGACTGAGTCAAGCCGAGGTCACAGCGACCAGACAGAGACAAAAACACAAACGAATCGTCAACGTTGAGAACGAATTGCGGCTGATCTAAGCAACGCACGGAGAACATACTTTGCAATACGGTGACAGAAGCTCTTCTCTCAGTTTCCAGCTCTCATTGTGGAAGATCGGTGGACTCTTTCCTGCCGATTAACACCTTTTACTTCAGCATATTTGGCTTTGCTACAAAACAAAATATGGCAGCTGGCTCGCGCGCCTTCGTGAATCATCGGCTATCTCCGGTTCGATCGCGCGAAAAGCAGAAGCGAGAGTACCGAGAGTACCGAGAATACCGAGCAGAAAGTAAAAACGTGAGGTAACCGCAGACGAATGCGTTGAAACTTTCAGTAACGTTGTGTCTGATAAGTTTTAATATCTGCAAAACCATTTAATTCTTAAATACGAGAAAATATTATGGTACGCAGAACGAACTTGCTTACGAAATTCACAATGGCTTGGTTTCTGTGGCTAAAAATTCACAATGGCTAGACTGGCAATAGTGCCACATTAGTAGGATTATTTCGATAAATAATTGAGTATCATGCGCAACAATATTTACTGTCATACGAAGAACGATGAGGATCGAAAAGAAGAAAAAGATAAAAATATGTTTAATTAGAAGACATTCATTCATGATCCACGGTACAACACATTGTAAAATTAAAACATTGAATCTGCGCATCGAATTAACTCGCTAGTAAAAATACTAAATCAGAGTTCAAACAATGAATTTGACTTTTCTGCAATCAAATAATGTGTTATATTTTTAGAGGGCGATATAGAACACTGCGCAAACTAGCCGCAACTGTTTAATCTATTAACTGTTAAAACTCCAATTTCAACGATAGATGGCAGTGCAGTACATTGCGGGAAATGAGCGCCAAGCTCATGTAGAATACTAGAAACAGGAATTTTGTGTTTGCTGTTTAATATTTAACCTGTAAATCAGTGTTTTCACAATTAAAAATGGCTCTAAACGATTATGAAATAGACGAGTTTGAAGCACAATTCCAAGATGAACTCGAGGCTATGATAGACGTCGAAAGTAAGTGATTGAGGATTGATGATCAGACGTTCTCAGACGGCCTAAACTAGTAGTACTAGTACTAGTAGTAAACACAAATGACATGTAAACAATGGTCAATGCAGAAAATGATAATTGAAATGTGAAATAGCATAGCTGCATACATTATAATTATTACGAGGTTACCCCATATCACCAAAACCCTACCCATAACACTAACCCTTACCCTAACTCTAACAGAACACCCGCCATTGAGGTTAGGGTAGTCCGAGATTCCTCTGACCAATGCCCACACCGACGATTTTGGTGGATTTGGTGTGGGTTAGAAAGATTCCTCAGACCAATGCCCACACCGACGATTTTGGTGGATTTGGTGTGGGTTAGGTCAGAGCAACTTGCCTATACAAAACGTGGAATTTCTCCGCTCAGGCCTCGAATTAAGCGACGACAGGGGCAAGGCAATTTTTTGGGGGCATGTGAGAAATTGCCTTGAATTTTCTCTAAAATGGATGGGCACCGAGGCAATTTTAAAAGGCATCAAGGCAACTCTCACAATTTGAGAAGGGCACCAAGGCCATTGTTATGGAAAGCTTTGTGTCATCGTATGAATTCTACTAAAATTTCTCTAAATTTACTGCACTTAGCAAGCTACACACCGTACAGATCACTGGCCATTCTTGCGCGAGCGTCGTTTCCCGTGCTTTAAATCGCACGCGGGCCGAGTCCGGGCGTGCAGCATTTAAATATTCGTGTTCTACCACGGGCATACACAGGTGCACTATTTATCGATCGTCTACTGGCAGCGGTTGGCAGCAATACCACGTTATTGTTTTTACCGCCGGGTAGACTGGTATCCGGCCTCACGCTCTGCTAGATGAATGTTACACGCTCATGCCGACAAAACAGTGCCGGCCGCAACCAGTCTAGCCAGAGGCAGAGGCACCAGCGGGAAAATTTACACGCTGGGGCGGGCGATTTTCGCCCCCGAAATGCAAAAAGTGCCCCGAAAACATGATATCGGGGGCGACCCAAAAGCAAAGTCGCCTGGAAATCGATTCGTCCAGGCGGGTCCCGGCCTTGCCCGATCTCGCTTTGGCCTCTGCCGCGAGCGCAGCGGTTCCACGGCTGCGGTAGGAATTCCTTGCGTACGGTGTGTGTGTCAAGTGTTTATCATAAGCATGCAGGTGTGTTATGTACTGTTATTATACTGTGCTTACGTGCTGGCCTGCGCAGCTCTGCGTGGTGCCGGTGTGCATGCGGCTGCGTTGTTGCGTCTAGTGTTGCGTGCGCGCGCGCTAGTGCGTGCCGTGCGTGGATGACGTCTGTGTGTGCCGCGGGCCTTTGGCCTCGGCTGTGCTTGCGTGATGTGCCTGCGCGCGTGCCATGGTGTGCGCGTTTGGTGCGTGCCCTGCGCGCGCGCGTGCCTGCCGGGCGTGCTACGTAGACCCGTAGAGAGACCAACGACGCCGTATGGATGTATAGACACGGTAATCCATGGAAATATCTATGATATTTATGAATAGAATTCACACGTATTTATTTTATTTATTAGATATTTTATTTTTTTTTTTATTTTATTTTTCCCTGGCGGGGCTGTGGCCTCGTGTGTCATTCCGAATTGTAGCTTTTTTGTCAATTTTTCCACCGAAAGAGTTATCTG